GTCACAGAAATGGGGGTCATGCTCACCCGCAGACTCTCGGGCCAGGAACAGAGCACTGGCATAAGTGTTTGCAGCCCCAGGGCCATGCTCTCTGAAACCGGCTGCCCCTCTGCCCTGTCCACCGCTGGAACCTGGCTTTGTCTCTCGTAGTGAGAAAAGAGCTGATGGCCGAGGCAGCTGCCAGCGAGAAAGGGGTCTCCGAGGAGGAAAAGGTATGAGAGATGGTGCAGTTCCTGTCCCATCCAGCTGTGCCAGGATATTTAAAACCAAAATGACCCACAAATCCATCCTGTGTTCAGCTTAGTGCCTGGGTTTGTTTCCTTCAGGACGTCACCTCCCCGGCTGAGGAAGGGGCAGCTGCCCCCTCTGTTTCAGGGATCTACTTCATTTGCCCGTTGACCGGTGCAGTTGTAAGGAAAGACAAGAAAGAAAAGCACCTCCGAGAAGCCATCCAGTCAGTAAGCACCATGGCTGCCGGCTGCACGGCTTCCTTTCCTCCTGTTTTAACTCGTTTTGTGGTGTGGGTTCCCTCGAGCCCTGCGGCAGCAACCTCTCCCCATAACACCTGTGCCAGCTCCCCAGGGGCAGCTCTGTTCTGCTGTAGCCATACAAGTGCCTGTCCAAGCACCCTCCCTTCAGCTTGCTGGAAATGCTGAGACCCTGTACTGGTTTTGGCTGGGACAGAGTTAATTTTCTTCATAGCAGCTGGGACAGTGCTGTCTTTTGTGATGAAAACAGCATTGATTACACACTGGAAACAGCTAAACTGGGAAGCAGTGAATAAATTCCTTTGCTTGGACATGCAATTTTTGCTTTACCTATTAAACTGGCTTTAGCCCAACCATGAGGGTTTTTTCCCCACTTTTACCCTTCTGTTTCTCTCCCTCATCGCACTGTGGGGGGAATGAGCATGGTGCTGAGCTGTTGGCTGGGGCTAAACCCCAACAGACCCCCACAGCCCTTTGTGCAGAGTAGCATCAGCTGCCCCCTGACCAGCTTCTCTCCTTCTTCCCTAGTATTTCTCCGTAGACCCAGTGGCTGCCTCAATCATGGAGATTCACACCTTCAATAAGGACCGGGAGAAAGTACGAGTGGGTGTAGAGACCATGGCCAAGTAAGTAGGCTGCCTTAGTAGGACTGAGCATACAGGTAGCTTGTCCCTTCCCTGGAATGTGGATTTTCTTGCTATGCTCCAGGCAAAGGCTGAAGAAAACCAAAGCCAAACACTCAAACAGTCTTAACTGTTGGTTAAGAAATAAGGTCAGCATCTCAGAGATGTTTTAAGGGTTAGTCCACTAGTCCAGGAGGTTTTTCTTTCTGGCACAGGCATGAAACACTGATGTATTTTACTTTCCTCATTTTTTCAGCTCTTGATATCTCTGAGAAATTCTGTAAGGTCTCTCAGGCAGTGTGCTGCTTACACCTTGAGGTAGCATGTCCTGAAATGCCTGCTTTGATCCATGCAGTGCATTCCTCTTTCTGCAGATACTTGGATAATATCTATCTCCATCCAGAGGAGGAGAAGTACCGGAAAATCAAACTGCAGAACAAAGTGTTTCAGGTGAGATCAAGACCCCTGCAGAAGCTCTGCCTAGGAAAGTCCGTGCCTGGAGCAGACTACATTTAAAATCTTTCCTTTTCTTCCAGGAAAGGATAAGCTGCCTGGAAGGGATACACAGATTTTTCCAGGCTATCGGGTTTGAGACAAAAACACTGCCTGTTCCAGGACAAGGCAAGAAATCTAAGTGGCTTAAACTGCAATCAGGAGTTTGGTGGTGGGACAGCACTAGCAAGGCAGCTTTGGTTGTGGAGAGTGCTCCACAGGCTGTAACAAAGGCTGTTACTCCAAGCCTGTAACAAAGAGCCTCTCACCCTGCAGTTTCCCTTCTAAGACATTACATTTTCTGGAGCTCCTTGCCCTTGTATTTCATACGTTACTCCTGTAAAGAACAAGAGACTCAAACCCTGTCCTTTTGGTTGTAGAGACCACAGAGGAGTACTACATACTGAAGGAAGAAATGCTGACCAAATTGGAAGACATCAAGGACTACAAAGAGCAGCTTTTAAGCTCTGAGCCTGTGAGAGCCCAGCTGGATCGCCAGCTCTGTGTATTTAAACCATCACCTGAAGCTGCTCGGTTTGAGCTGCCAAATGACTTCTACAACCTCACTGCAGAAGAGATCAGACGAGAGCAACGGCTTCGGTGGGTAGGCTTAGGAGGAGAGCCCTGACTGCCCAGGGGACACACGATGCCAGCCAGGAGTCTTGTACCTCTCCTTCATGCTAAAAATTGCTTTCTCTCTAAAGGACAGAAGCAGTGGAGAAGGCTTCACTGCTGAGGACAAGAGCCATGCGAGAGAAAGAAGAACAAAGGGAAATGCGCAAGTACAACTACACCCTGCTACGAGTCCGGTTTCCTGATGGATACATCCTCCAAGGTAAGAAGACTTCTTACTTTTTTTTGTACAGCCCCAAAAGCTTCTGGGAATACTTGTAGTGCAAGAGCTTGAATAATAAGCAGGCTTGAGGTGTGCTGAACACAGCTGGTAGAATAAAGCAATAAAAACCAGAGTGGGGTAACTCTTCTCTAAGAACTCTTCTCATCTCCAAGCCCTCCACCTGCCTCACCTGCACAGGGTTGGGACTGTGAGCTGGGGTTGAGGGGAGAGGGAAGAATCTCAAGGCACTGTTAATTAAAAACCGTGCTCTTCCCAGGCTACTGGGAGCAAGCTGGACTCATTAGATCAGTTTGTTATAGTAACCAGCATGAGGCTGCCTGTGTGGTGTCAGGTTATACAACAGTATAAATCATCTTCAAATTTTTCAGTAGAACTCTGGAAATCATTTCAGGCTTTCCCAACTCTTTGTTACAGGCTGGCAGGGGCTTGTGACAATTGAAGTAATATTTTTCTTTGGGGATTCTGCTTTTATCCTCCTCAGTTGAATCAGGCTGTTTCTGTGTCACTGAAGTAGTTCATAAAGATAGCATCAGTACGTGAGCCCCACGAAACCTACCACAAAAGGTTAGATTTGGTAAATGCCAGAGACTCTCTCAATATCTCACCTTGTTTTCTCATGGTAGGGACTTTTTATGCACGAGAATCGGTATCTGTGCTCTACAACTTTGTGAGAGAAGCACTCAGAGATGACTGGCTGCCCTTTGAGCTGTTGGGACCTGGAGGTCTCAAACTGACTGACGAGAACTTGGCCTTCAATGAATGTGGGCTGGTGAGTAAAAAAAAAAATATGAAAGCTGGTACCTTCCACAGGGATCTTCAGGCTGTCAGAGTCATCTGCTGCTCATAACTTTGAAGTTTGTGTCTTCTGCTTTCAGTGCCATAAGTTGTGCACTGGCCCCTTCTTGTTAAGCACAAACAAGTAACTGCTTGAAGGCTTCTGGCTCAAGACTAGGAGGTCTGTCTGGAAGGAACTGCAAGGACCTATAGCAAATGCAGGCTACAGTATCCTGGGTGGCTTAGCATCCACACTGGGAAAAGAGGGAAGGCAGCAACTCTGAGGCAAGCGCAGCTCTAGCACAAGGCTACCACCAGAAAGCCCAAAGCAGTGTCCCCTAAGGAGCTTTTTGCAGAAATCCACACTTGTCCTTTTTAGTTGAAGTGCTCTACACTTTTCCAGGTCTGTGAACATACACAACATGTTATGAGGTCAAAGTATAACACTGTTATAGCTTAATAACTCTGCTGTTTTGGTCCCAGGTGCCCTCAGCCCTCCTGACCCTCGCCTGGGATGCAGCGGTCATGGCAGACATTGAGGCGGCAGGAGAGGAGCAGCCAGCAAGCGCCCTGAAACAAGAACTTCTCTCCAGAGTCCAGACACTGTCATGAAATAAAGGGGAGTGGATTCAGTGCTGGTGGTTTTAGACTGTTCCCTCGTTTTTGTTGGAGCTTCCAGCTGCGTGACCTCAGATGTGACTTTGTTTTAGCTCTGCAGAGTGGGACTCTAGATTCTGCCATGTCACACCAACCCTGCAGTCACCTCCACAACTCCGGTAGCCATACACTAAGGCAGTCTTGCCCAGTAGGACACTTAGAGGACTGCTCCGAATGGCTTTAAAAAACAAGTTCTAGCAGTGACTGCTTGAGGTGTTCCAAGACCATGATGAAGCACCACTGTCCTCCCTTGGAGGAAGGATTAGGTGCTAGCACTAGGCTGGATTACCAATTGATTGAGCCTGGATATTGGGCTGGGCTTAGAACTCAGCTTTTCCTTTTGCTTCTGTGTGCACTGTAACTCCTATTGGAGAGAATATATTTAGATAAAAGTATACTTAGTCTGATTAAAGGGAGTATTTAAAAAGACTCAGTTCTGTTCAAAAGTTATTTGAATTGCATAGCTCTTAGAGATTTGAAATGCAGATGAGCTCCAGTCACTGCTGGGGCTGGCACTGGTGTTACTGGTGCAGCTGTGGCATTACCCACCTTTTCACTTCACAGCACCTGTAGACAGAGCAGGGGACAGCCCAGGAGACTGACAACAGGCAACAGCTATTTTGGTGCCCAGTGGTGAGAGATTAAGCCTCAAACTACAGCCAGTATTTTGGGAAACTAATCCATCAACTCACAAGCCATAGAAAGTTAAAAGCCCCAGCAAGTTTGTTACATACAGAAACAAGTTTGATGCTAGTTTAATCCTTTATACTTCAAAGTTTTTCTGTGGGGTAGAGACCAGCTGTTAGGTATACAGCTTCTATTGCAGCAGTTTGTACAGGAGACCAATAATCTATCAATCACTAGCCTGATGTATAATTAATACTAGCCTACCCCAAAATAGAAGAAACAAGTTGCATTTTTTTTTCCTTTTCCAAAGGGTAAAGCCCTGCTGCTGTTCTCTGTAGCAAGTAAGACCACAAACAGGATGATGTAGATAGCATAAATTCAAATATAATTGTACATCATTTATACCCAAGGCCATGCTATACAACATTATGAACAGAGCGATTCCCCCAGTGGCATCACAATAAGCTTATTTCACACCCTCCACTATTTTTAGAGATAACTTAGATACCTTCCATTACAAAGAAGTATCAAAATTTCAATAATGCTTTATTAAGGACAGATTAATATGCAGTATTTTAAGCTAAAAAACTAGAACTAAAAATTTAAGCTTCCATCTGGTCTGAAGCAGAACAAAGTGCTGTCTTCTCTTTACAAGAAATACGGAATACTTTCAAGTATCTTGTTCAAAGATACACAAGGTTTAAAATTTTCTAACTCATTCTACATACATACAGAGAAGTTAGTAGGCATTTAAGGCTCAAACTGTATTAGATGGGCTGACCATGCTGGTGTCCTGGTGAGCAGCTCCTGTGCCACTGGATTCTGAAGCTGTTTCAGTAACTGCCAACGTAGAATCTGCAAAGTAGAAAATGTGTTGGATTTGGGTTTTTTTGTTTGTTTTTAAATACCCTCATTAATCTAGTAGAATTGGGCTACTATTCATTTTATCTGTCTCTTAGCTTGTTTGCCCGTATCTGTTGGAAGTCTCCTTTTCAATGCTATTTAAAAACTGCTTTTAATATTGGGTTAACATCAATCCAGAATAAAAATTACTTCAACCATTAAAAAAAAGGATCTTCATAATCTTTTCAGTGCTTTAGACTCAGACAGACTTAAACAAATACAGCTGCACATGTGTCAACAAAGCCTGACGAAGGCAAGCTACTGAATAGCATCCCCATCTTCGGAACAAGAGGCTACAAACCTGAAGCAAGGTTTTCATCTCACTGCAGTCTTGTAGTAAGCAAAAGCATTTAAGATTAAATGCAAAGCTTCTTGTCAAACAGTTATATTGTCTGTTGTGGAAGGAGAGGAGGAATATAGCACCAGATGAGATAGGAGAACCTAGATATGTCTAGTGGGTCAAACACTCTTTAGAATTTAAGGCTTTGGGAACATGCACGAGCCCTTATCTATCAATTAGGGGAGCTGCCCAACACAAAAATCCCACTTTCCTTAATTCAGGTTGTACCAGTAGCATTGTGAAAGAGCTCTATTGTGAGAGCTGTAAGAAAAGGGCTCAGAGGTTTTGAAAGCAGTTTAGAGGAGCTGAATGCACATCATGTGGTTGGTGTTAAGTCATTGATCTGTATGATCAATATGTATAGTTAAAACCTCACTGAGATGAAAGGAGCTGCTCCACATCCTCATCTCACTGTTTCTGAATCCGTAGCCTGAAAGCTCGGATTCCACTGCTACAGCAGTGGAGCTTTGAAAGCTTTTTTCCAAACTTTTTTAACTTTCCAAACTTCCCAGCTTTTTTAACTGGGACACAAATATAAGCAACTGCTTAGATTCTGGAGCAAAGCAGCCCAGTGTTGATCAGAGCTCTCACCTGTCAAACAGCCCAGAGCTTGGTTATTACCCCCTTCAGAACAGACAATTTAGCATGCACCTAAGACTTCAAGAAGGCAGAGGGGAGTTACACTCCAGACCTCGTCAGTCCTGGAAGGGCTCTGAACATAAGTATGCACACCTCCGATACCAGCCCTGCCCAGCAACATTTACCAACAGCAGATCTGCTGACACCGACCTCAATGTTCACTTTTCTTATTGGAAACAAAACAAAAAACAAACAAACAAACAAGGTAACACTGGCAGCTGAATACTAGTCACAAGCACTTTGCTCTAGTCGATTGGAGAGAAGAGGGAAGAAAGGGCAAGAGCAGGTTAGAGCAACAGCAAAGCAAAGCAGCATCTAGAATAAAACATAAAAAGCACAGAAATACATAGAATAAAATATCTACAGAGAAAAGCACAAGACTTGATGAAAAAGTAGCAGAAAAACTGTAACAGGTTTAGCCATGCACCATTCCCGCTCTGTTGTACCCTCCCTTCTGGGAGCAAGCATCTGCCAAGAAACAGCTATCGATTTATTTTCCCACCTTTGCTTGGCTGTATATCCACAATCATGCAGTCCTCATCTTCCTCATCTTCCTCAGTGTCTGCCTGAAATCCATCCATCTCTGCAGCTTCGGCCTTAAGGAAAAAAAAAGGTACCAGCTGTTTAACAGCAAGGGATGGTGCTAACGTGCGAGACCACGCACAGCCGGTGCTGTGAAGGACTACAGTGGGCACTTCTCACGATTCGGACCCGCAGCACCCTCTGATCAGTTGGACACACTTGTAGGGAAGAAAAATAAGCAACTCCTGACTTCAACAGACTTTTGATAAAAGGCCTTGTCTGCAGTGGCACGTACAGCAGGAAGCAGGCCAAACATCTGCTCCGAGATGCTTCACTATTACACAATGAGATGAACAACCCACACATCGAAAAGTCACTTCAAACCTGACTCGAAATCTGACTCCGTTTTGTTGGGTTTTTTGGAAGGGAAATCTCTCCCCCCTTCTGCTGATTATTTTAGATGTTTTCTTCCTTCTGAAGATGGAAAATGACTTTTGCTTGTCACATTTGAAGCATGTTCTCCCCACCTGATGACTCCTCATCTTTGCCAATTAGCTTTTATTCAGGGAGGGGCAACAGTTCTTCCCTTGGTGACCCTATTTGCTGCTACGGGAGCAGCACAAACTACTCATTTTGAATCATGAAAACAAATACATTGACTGATACAAACTGAAGCTGTCCAGCATTGAACAGCTGTGAGTGCTGTTAGAACAAGTTAGCGAATTCCTAATATTCCCCAACTGGAATTATGGAACTAATATCTCAGACTAGAACCTGGTCGCCCCTACAAGCTGTTCCAAAAGAAAGTTTAAATTTACATCTTTCATTAAAGTCACAGTTCTCAGATTAAGCATTCCCCTCCTACACACGTGCAGGTACCGCTTTGATACCAAGTTCTTCCCTTTCCGCAGCTTGTGTAAGAGCGGCTTTACTTACACGAGTCCTGGCATGAGCCCCATGGCACAGCAACACGAGCCAGGGGCAGAGAACCTGGCAGCCTTGACCTACCAGTCGTTCCTGGCTTCTCCTCCAGCCCCAGCCTCGCTTGACAGGAAGGATGGGATCTCATTAGCTGAGCAGTGCCCGTTCAGATGTCAGGCATGTAAGGCTTTCGGGACTCTGACACCTTTGCTCTGCACTGCATGGCACCGCACCTCACAAGGGCAGCTCCAAGATGCTTTCGAGAGCTTTGAAGAATTCAGGCTGGTGATGTAATTCTACGAAAAGCCTTTGTTTCGCTATTTCTGCTCAAGTAGTTGGTTATAAGCACAATTTCCAGTGAGTGCCAAGCAGAGATTTTTATCTCTGCCTTTATTTAGTGTATAAGAAAAAAAAAAACCAAGCAGATGGGAGTTTGGGGGCTGAACAGCTTCTCACAAGTCTCTGATCCCTATCAATGCAGAGCTTTTTCAGTAGAAAAGCCAAAGCAGCCAAGAATAAAGTGGGAAGGAAAAGCATAGAAAGCCTTGTCTGTGGCTTCTTTCACCCCTTGTGGATGAGGGGGTGAAGAATAAATCCACTGACAGTGCAAACCCTGTCCTACCTGTAGGTTTGGAAGCAAAGAGTTGATAAGACCAAGCTTCGGGACCTAAAGCCTCACTGTCTTAAAAGCAGAGAGCATCACACAACTAAAGCACTGATCGCATACTTTTGAGTCATCCTTTTGGATGATTAAGCTCTTAATACTACTTGTGGTTACCCTGAAAAGCAGAAGTAAACAACAGGAAGACCACAACAAAGCTTAGAGCTGGAGTAGCAACTACTCCAAATCCATTTCATTTTGTTCCTATGAATTACTGTATTTTTAAATCAGCTCTTGAAATTCAGCTTTATGTATGATAAGCCAGAGACTTTACAGACTATTAGAGGTTGAGTTGCAGCACTTGTGAACCACGTTTAATCGGTACACGTGCAACTGATGCAAGTCACCAGCTCAGGCTATACATCTGGCAGCCATACACACACATAAAAACCTGCATACAAATTATCTACAGCTGTAAAACCCAAGGCCAAGCAGCCACTCAGAAACCATTCACAGCTTGGATGCAATCACTGCCAAATAGCAGAAAATGGAAGAACAGCAGGAGAGCAACGTTTCA